GTACCTCCTCTAAACCTAACACTTATTACTGATAACTATGTACCAAATACTGTATCTAATAACAATAATATACAACCTAAGCTAAGAAATCTCATAAAAGACCCTAGCGAACTAAATGCATTAAGCAAGAAAATATCGGAAATAGAAAATGACTTAAAGGGGGATAATATCGATACCTTCGTAGATATCATTTCATCACCTATCTCCTATTCAATAGGGACCATTTTTTGTATCACTATTCTTATACTAATTATAGTAATTTATTTCCTAAGAAAGAGGGCAAATTTAACTACTTCCGGAGAAACTACTCCACCTAGTGTAATAGTTATCGGAAACTCTTCCCCAAATCCAAATCAAGTCACACCGTAATTTAAGACTCGATGGGACAATTTTTGTATCACTATTTTTATACTAATTATAGTAATTTATTTCCTAAGAAAGAGGGCAAATTTAACTACTTCCGGAGAAACTACTCCACCTAGTGTAATAGTTATCGGAAACTCTTCCCCAAATCCAAATCAAGTCACACCGTAATTTAAGACTCGATTGTAATAAAACCAATGTACACGGGAAGTAAAACAAATGTACAATTTACAAAACACTCGGGTGACTGAACCCGATGTCAGCAAAATTTATGTAAGCAAAATTACGAGGCAGGTAACCAGTACAACGATCTACAAAACAATTGAAAGACTAAAAGAAGAGCCCATGAGAATGGATCTTTCCTTTTTCTATGGGGGTAGGCATGTTGTAAACCATAATATAGATTTGGAAACGCGCCTACGTCAGAAGCGGCGGAATGGCCACGCTGCGACGCGGCACAGTCCACTCGCCAATATTATGGAAACAAAGGAGACACATCACCGACACCATGGCGAAATATAGAAACAATCCTTGGTTATTGTAGCTCTAAAAATTCCATAATGAAGATATAAAAAGCGGACGGCCTGTCGGCACGTGAGACGAAGTAAGAGAGCTACGAGTGAAGCGTTACTACGGTAACTTAGTCGATGTACTAACCTCCAGCCTCGTGATTTCGTACTCACCACGTTTACGGTTTATTTCTAATAGTGTATTCTAACGTAACTTGTTTAGTTTCAAATAAATCTTTTACTTGTTATCGAGAGTTAAGTTCCAACTTTTTACTCGGGCAACGAATCCCAAAGTACCTGACTCCCGAAAACCCTTTCCGGCAGTCAAAACCATGAACCCTGTATTTGGGCTCACAACAGAATTTAATTTTCACATTTTCGTATGGGTATTAGAATTTATTTAATACATTATTTTTCTACAACGTTATTAAATCATAAGTTACGGAACATTGATTTAACTTTAATACCACGGTACTGATCGCTTAACCGTGCTACTGATTTTCTGTTGCACCTTAAAGAAAATAATAATTTCATAGGTTTAGAGAGGTTCGATTAACAAACAAAAGGAGACAGTATTTATATGTATTATGATGAAAAATAAGAAGAAAAAACAAATAGAGAAGGTACAAAGATACTAGAAGTTACTCCACGATTTTTCGTCTTTAAGTGACTCGATACACTTCGTAAATTTCTCGAGACTACGCAATACTAAACAAGCTAGAATTCGCGAAATGCCTTCTGAGCGTCAGGCGTACCATTGCGTCATGATACGCAAACTTCCCGGAAAATAGGAAAAGAAATCGGACTAGCAAAAGCGAAACGGAAAGTTATGTTAGAGAGGCTGGGTCAACGCAGATGTTAAATAAGGGAGAGACTGAGCAAAATAGGTTGAGAAAAATAAATTGAGAACCCATCAAATTCAGTAACAGAAAACATAACAAATTGGCCCTTTTATTCTTGGGACATAGTCAAATTAATAAATAACAATTCAAAGAGAAAAACCATATCTCGATAGAGAAAGTTAAGTATCACGCGACACAAGGTCCACTTCGGGACACTTGAAAAAAAGGAAACGCAAGAACTAAAGTCACGCGAGTAGATATACGAGGAGAGTTCTGAACCAAGATTCCTGCACCGACATATTACCGACCTGTGGGTTCGCGTCCGTGCTAAGTTAGCGATGTTGGCACGCCCTCTGGATGGTAAGTTAGGTCGGTTGGGCCCCGTATGAAAGATTTCTGCTTACCGACGCGTCGTAAGGTCCCGTTATGGAAGATTTCTGCTTACCGACGCCTCCGGAAATTTGAATATTCCTCGTTACTGGCACCCCTCGCGAGTGAGTGAGTGAGATGGAGAGAAAGAGAGTGCGCGCGCACGAGTCGATGTCGCTGACCCCTTTCTTCGGCCGACATCATCGGAAGGTGGCCCTGGTTTTACGTCAGGTTTCAGACGTTTTACGGCAATTTCAGAAATTTTACGTCAGATTTCAAAAGTATTACGTCAGGTATCAGGGATTTTACGGCAGATTTCACAAATTTTACATCAGACGTAATTGAGTACATTCTAGATTCTTCTATTGCAACCCCACCTCAGTCTCATCCATGATACATTGACCTTGCACGTGAAAGCGGTGGATTTCAAAGGAGATGATCGGCAACCCTTTGTACGTTACCAAATTTTGTACTTCCGATCCCCTGGCAGCTCCCCCCCCCCCCCCCCTTT